GGCCTAGACCCTTCATCAGAAGGGTCTAGGCCCGAAACGTCAGCCTTCCTGCTCCAAGATGCTGCTTGGCCTGCTGTGTTCATCCAGCTTTACACCTTGTTATCTCATACTCAGTCCGATCTGTTTACACCTAATAATCTATGGTGGGCCCATTGTCAAAACCTAAATCTTTAAAATCACCCTGGATGGTGCAGTTCAGCACTGGGCAGACATTCAGTGGACCAGCAACTAAAGCACTGTGGCTACTAGAGCAGGTCAGAGGATAGGCATTCTGACTGATCATCTCCTGACTCCCTAAAGTATCCATGTAACTTACAGGAAACAAGTCAGGAGTGTGGAGAAAAACCTGCATGAACACTTGCAGCTGAAATAGGGAACTCAATATCACCGGGTCAAAGCAATTCACTTGCTCAGCATCTTATCTACCCATTAAACATTAACTCCCTTCACCATCACTGCAATATAGCTCCAGTACGTGTATGATCTAAAGCAATGCCTTGAAAGTTATTTTCCCATTGTGACCTCCATTTGGGTATTTGAGAATAGCTGTGACTGCAGACCTATAGGAGCCATGTGGGGGGAGTCAGAGAGTGGGGTTGCGGGGAGAGTAGGAGACGGATTTGTGAGAATGATGGACTGGGCTGAGGGCATCTGTTTGAACTGGGAGAATGGGAAATCCGTGACAGCAGGGAAGGAAGATGGGAGAGAGAGATAGAGAGTGTGAGGGAGTTTTTGTAGCACAGTGGTAGTGTCCCTATGTCTGAGCCAGGAGATCTGTCTTCATGTTCCACCTATCCAAGAGTTATGTCATAACATTTCTGAACAAGTTGATTCATAAATACAAGAAACAGAGTGGGGATGGAGATCTGTGAGGGTAGGGGCGGTGACGTCCCATTTCTCTATAGGGATTTCCAAACAACATTAGTCCACACCCACTTTAAAAACATATCTGACCTTTTAAAGTGACCTCGCAGCTTTTAGCACTGGGTCGGAACACTGCAGCAGGTAGATCATGATCCCAAAATTTCAACTCTCAACCCCACAGTCTGGAATTCTTGATTGAAAAGATGCACTGCTTCCCAAACTTTCAGTCTCTACCTCCATAATGGTAAGAGCTATGGGACTATTCCCTTCAAGTCACACACTAGCCATGATTTAGACATAGGTACCCATTCCTTCATTGTCACTGTATCAACGTGTTAGCGCTCACCAACTCACAACACTGCGGGAGTTACTTAGTCATGGACTGCAATGCTTCAAAAAAGAGGGACATATATTAAATTGTTACAGAGATAGTAGGAACTGCCGATGCTGGAGAATCTGAGATAACACGCTGTACAGCTGGATGAACACAGCAGGCCAAGCAGCATCAGAGGAGCAGGAAAGCTGACGTTTCGGGTCGAGACCCTTCTTCAGAAATGGGGGAGGGGAAGGGGATTCTGAAATAAATAAGGAGAGAGGGGGAGGCGGATAGTAGATGGATAAAGGAGAAGATAGGTGGAGAGGAGACAGACAGGTCAAAGAGGCGGGGATGGACCCAGTAAAGGTGAATGTAGGTGGGGAGTTAGGGAGGGGATAGGTCAGTCCAGCGAGAACGGACAGGTCAAGGAGGCGGGATGAGGTTAGTGGGTAGGAGATGGGGATGGGGCTTGAGGTGGGAGGAGGGGATAGGTGGGAGGAAGGACAGGTTAGGGAGGCGGGAATGAGCTGGGCTGGTTTTGGGATGCGGTCGGGGGAGGGGAGATTTTGAAGCTTGTGAAGTCCACATTGATACCATTGGGCTGCAGGGTTCCCAAGCGAAATATGAGATGCCGTTCCTGCAGCTTTCAGGTGGTGGGGCTGGAGGGGAGTGTGGAGCAGACAAGGGAGTCACGGAGAGAGTGGTCCCTCCGGAAAGCAGATAAGGGTGGGAGGGAAAAATGTCTTTGGTAGTGGGGTCAGATTGTAGATGGCGGAAGTGTCGGAGGATGATGCGTTGGATTCGGAGGTTGGTGGGGTGGTACGTGAGGATGAGGGGGATTCTGTCTCGGTTGTTATTGTGGGTAGGGAGTGTGAGGGATGAGTTGCGGGAAATGCGAGAGACACGGTTGAGGACATTTTTGGCCACTGTGGAGGGGAAGTTGCAGTCCTTGAAAAACGAGGACATCTGGGATGTCCGGGAGTGGAATGCCTCATCTTGGGAGCAGATGTGGCGGAGGCGAAGGAATTGGGAATAGGGGATGGCCTTTTCGCAGGAAGGTGGGTGAGAGGAGGTGTATTCTAGGTAGCTGTGGGAGTCGCTAGGCTTGAAATGGATATCGGTTTCCAGGTGGTTGCCAGAGATGGAGACAGAGAGGTCCAGGAAGGAGAGAGAGGTATCAGAGATGGTTCAGGTAATAAATGTTGACCTTGCCAATGATACCCATATCTGAGAACAAGCAATGATAGAAATCTCACTGGAAAACAATTATTTAATGCAGATAGCAAATGACATCATGGTGATTCTGTAACAGTGTCATTTTAGATATCTCAATACTGTACAGGTCTTACCAGTTCTGCCACTACTTGCACCTACTGCCTGCAGATTTCCTCTGATGGTTTTGACAGTGATGTTATATAAACGCCCTGGAGTTAACCTTCGAAAAACAACCTCAGATGTACTTGACTGCAAACTCTTGGTTTCTTTAACAGTTCTCCGATAAGACAGCGTGACATTATATGAATCCACATCTCCCACAGCTCTCTTCCAAGAAACCAGGAGGCTATCGCTGCTGCCGTTATTTGACACGACCACAGAGGTAGCCTCTGCTGGAGCTGAAAAGAAAAGGATATATATATCATCATTGTTATCATTTATCAATTAAAGCATTAAAACAATTAATGTATACTGCTCAAGGAAGAGTTAAAATTTAAATAAGCTTCCTTCTTCATTAGTGGAAATATTTGAATATTGCACTATTCCCTACTGTCAATTCTGTTAATGTATTTTAAGATAATTGGAGTCATTTAAACTTAATTACTTTATATTCATTTTAAATGACAATGACAACTGTGGAAGGGGGTTCAAATTAATCCATATTATATTCTTCCAACAATATTTCATCTTTCTAAAATATTTTTGCAGGAAATTAAATGAATGATGACACAAAGATAGGTTGGAAGCTAAGTGGTAAGAAGATATTAGGACACTGCAAAGAATTATATATAGGTTAAGTGAGTGGGCAAAGGTCTGGGAAATGGAATATAATGTGGGGAAATGTCACATTGGCAAATTTGACAGGTGAAATAAAAAGGAACTATGTGGTGTAAATGGTTAGAATATTGAGCTGCAGAGGGAACTATTTGCCCTCGTGCATGAATCACAAAAGGTTAGCACACAGGGAAAGCAAGTAATTAGGAAAGCTTATAGAATGTTAATGTTTATCATGAAGGGAACTGAATACACATGTAGGGAGGTTATACTTCATTTATACAGTGTAATGGTGAGACTCCGTGTGCAGCATTGTGTACATTATTGGCCTTTTTACTTAAGTAATCATATAAATGCATTGGAAGCAGTTCGGGTAAGGTTTACTAGGCTAATATCTGGAATGGGTGAGTTGTTTTATGAGGAAACATTGGACAGGCTAGACTTGTATCTGCTGGACTTCAGAAGAGTAAAAGGCAATTTGTTTGAAATGTATGAGATCCCTTGGAGTCTTGACAGGATGGATATGGAAAGGATATTTCCTCTTGTGGGAGAATCTAAATCTAGGGGTTATTTTTCAAAAGTAACGGCTCGTCCTATTTAAGACAAAGATAATGAGAATTTTTTGTCACAGAGAGGGGTACACCTTAACTCTTTTCCTCAAAAGACATTATTTTTTATTATTTTTTAAGATTATTTTTTAAGACATAAATAGGCATATTCTTGGCAAGTAAGGGGATATTGGGAAGGTGGGAATATAGAGTGATTATCTCAGCCATGACCTTTTTGAATGGCAGAACAGGTTCAAGGGGATCAGTGGCTCCTAATTGATAGAAGAAACCGATTAAGAGCAGGGTACCGATGTTTTATTTTCATTCTTTTCACAGGAATGTGGGTATTAATGGCAAGGCCAACATTTGTTGTCCATCCTTAATTACCCTATATGACTTCATTGGGCAGTTAAGAACAGGTCGCTGTGGGTCTGTCCTTACCAGGTTGGCAGATTTCTTTCCCTGAAGGAGATTAGTGAGCCAGATGAGTTTTTATAACAATTGGTAATAGTTAGCACGGTGACCACCACTGAGGCTTTTCATACCAGGTTTCTTAAAAGAATTCAAACTTCACCAGCTGCTTTGGTGGGATTTAAACACTATACCCAGAGTATTCATCTGGGCATCTAGATTTCTACAATAGACATTACTACACATTACTATCTCACCCTTGTTAATGGTTATGGGTTTAATTTTACAACATAACTGAATATAGTGACAGATTTAATTGTGCAAACCTTGAAATTACCTTCCATTAGTGCAAGAATCCTTGGTACATATCAAAAGGTTGTTTCCAAGGTTGAGTTGCTTTTAAATTCCAGTAAGTTCAGTGCCAGATACTGTCATTAGTATCACTGTTGTTCTGCCAGACTGAGACTGATCTCTGTAGGTGCTGCAACCACAGCTCCAACAGAAGGAGAGTGACTTTAATTAAGGGTCTCATTTGAGGCCAGCACTTGGAGTCGCATTGCTTTAAGCTCCACAGGTGACTGTTCCTGGTGGCCAGAATTGCCAAACTAATCAGAGCATCAGCCAAACTATTTTTCACAACAGCATCACCAAGATTATTCAGCACTGGGAGTGATTAATAACAAAAGAGGCACTTGTTTCTGATTACCTTCTCTTCACTAAAATAATAAAGCTTTTTCAGCTCAGAAGATAAGATTTTGAAGACACAAAAATTATAACTAATTTAAAATCACGTCTGTGGTTTTAAAATATACTGAGAGGATCTTGCAGTGCAGTCATAGTTTCCTTGGTCTTTGGGTCCACCAACTCTAGGTTCAAGTCCCACCACTCTCACAAATAAACAGCAACATTTGGAATTGTAATGAAAAAGGCATTCACCGTAATGTAACCCACATTCTTTTCGAACCAATGGGATAAAACAGTTCCAACTGACTCCTGTTTAAGCAATGACCTCACATATCTTTGGACCCTGGGTTTTAGTTAGTGGTTCATTGTGATCACACATTCACCCCAATGGAGATGTGAATGATCATCTCCTAAGTTACCTGTCTGCACGGATTTTGAGCTGATGGTCTCTAGCTCTCCCACTACACTGATCACGGTGAGATTGTAGACTCTGCCGGCTGTTAAACCCCTGAATGTGTGACGGTTGGTCGAGTTGGAGAAAGTGCTCTGCCGGACCACATTTCCCTTGTCGCTCAGAGACAGTCTGAAGCTGTCCACTTTCCCAGGGCCAGGAATCCAGACTGTGGTGAGACTGTCTGGCTCCCTTGAAATATGGATATCCTTCACCCTGGAGGGAACTAGAGAGACCACAGTTAAATACATTTGGTCAGATAGGTCGATACTATAACATTCTTTTAAAAGTATGCAGATTACAGTTAATTACACTCGGCAACATAATTCTATATAGCTGCAAAGAACCCATGAGATAACAGACTGATGGAGGTAGATATGAGTGTAAGATTAAGGGAAATGGCATGGGCCCATTAACCAAATTGTGATTGTTTATCATGCATCCAATCTCTGGAGATGATGAGAACTGTTTCACCACATATGATTGCTGAGAACAACATGACACTGGCAGATGTTAAAAATGAAGCTTTGCACCCAGTTCAACAGAAGCATCTTAGAACACTGACTGAAATCTAATGTCAGCACAGAGCTCTGCTAAATGGACTGCAGTGGTTCACGAAGGCAGCTCAACACCATCTTCTTAAGGGCAACCAGAGGTGGGCAATAAATGTTGGTCCCATCAGAGTTCCAACATCCCCGAATGAATATAAAAACAAAATGCTTGTAAATATTTTTAAAAAAATCATCTTGAAACTTTTTTTAATCCATGCAATTAATACAAAAGGAGCAAAGCCAAACCGCGGCGAGACCACCACCAGCTATCCCTTTCAACAACTGCAAGAGATGAAATACTTCTTATGGATATTAATTGTGTAGTTGAGAAACTTATGCAAGCAGAGACTGCATCCTTACAAATTAGTACCACAGATCAAACATGCCTTCTAAGTCTCTGATCTGAGAATAGGCTCTGAGTTAACAAGCGTCACTTTCTATTGTCTACCAGAAATTCAATAACATGGAAACAACGCTCATGACAGAAATTTAAACATTAGTTCTTTGGACAACAGCAACATTGGCAAGGCCAATATTTATTGCCAGTGCCTAATTGCTCTTAAAACACTGATTAATGTGTACATATGCACAGTGTTGCTGGGGAGGGATTCCAGGGTTTTCACCCGGTCACAGTCAAGGAATGGTGATGTAGAGTCAAGTCATGATGAAGTCATGTCCTGGATGGTTTCAAGCAGCAATTATTGCCCATTGTTAATTGTCCAGAGGGCAGTTCACAGTGAGGCCAGACTGGGCAAGGATGGCAGTTTCCTTCCCTGAAGGATACTAGTCAGGTTTTATCCTGACAATCGACAATGGATTCATGGTCATCATTTGACTCTTAATTCCAGATTTTTGTTTTAATTCAATTCAAATTCCAACATCTGCCATAGTGGGATTTGAAGTTTGTTCCCCAGAACATTTCTTGATCTCTGGATTAACAGTCCCCCAATAATACCACTAAGGCCAGTACCTTACCTGTAGTTAGGAAACGAGATCCTTGCTGAAGGATTCCCAGTTTCTGACCTGCTCTTGTGATCACAGAAATCACAGTTAAAAACAGCGCTGAAATCACATCCAGTGAAGTTTTGTTAGAAGTTAATTTGAGTGATTGTTTTTTGTATTAGGCTTCACTGTCAGGATTCATGGGGAGGCAGAGAACAAGCCGACTGAGTTCTGGTGGATAAATTCATCAAACATTCTTCACGCATCAGCACATAATAAACAGGAGCAGGAGAAAATCCTGTGGACCTGTTAACATGCTCAGCCATTCATTATGATCATAGTTGACCTAGGACTTTAGCTCTATTGTCCTGCCCACTCCCTACCTCCCTTGACCTCCCTGAGAAAGCAACAGTCTGTCTATATAAACTTTACATGTATTAAGTGATGGCATGATCACAATCCGCTGTGCCCTTGTTCTAGATTTCCCCATCAGAGCAAACTCTTGGATTACTCTCTAGTCTTCTACTGTGGAGATAGAAATAAAATGACTATTCAATTTTCCTTTTCATAGTTGTCAAACTCCATTGTTATCTTGAATGTTTCATTGTGATCACTCCTCATTCTTCTAAACTCCAGACACTTTAGATCTAATTTACTCACCCTCTCATTGTAGATAAAAATCCTCTCTTCCCAGAGACTAATCCACTGAATCTGCCTCCAAAGCATGTATATGCTTCCTTAAATACGAAGATCAAAACTGCACACAGTATTTCAGATCCAATCTCATCAAAACCCCATAAAATTGTACTAAGGCTGCTTTATTCTTTTCCCCCAAGTCCTGTTGTAATAAAGACTAACATGTTATTTGTTTTACTAATTATTTGCTGTACCTGCATTTCCAGCAATTCCTGTCTTTGTTACGTACCTTATTTTCTACATTAAGTTATTAATATAAATTGTAAAATGCTGAGGCCCAGCACCAGTTCTAGTGCTACTCCGCTAGTCACAACTTGCCAACTTGAAAATGTCCCATTTATTTATTCATTCGTTCATTCATTGCTTATCCCTGCTGCCTTTGAGAAGATGGTGGTGAGCTGCCTTCTAGAACTGCAGCAGTCCATGTGGTGTAGGTGCACTCACAATTCTGTAAGGGAGGAAATTTCAGGATTTTGACATAGCAACGGTGAGGATTTGGCAATATATCTCTAATCTGTTTCCCGTCTATGAACTGATCATCTATCCACGCTAATTTATCACCCCAACTCCATGAGTCCTTATCTTGTGTATTAACCTTTGTGGGCAGCTTGTCAAATGCTTTTTGAAAGTCCAGGTACACAACATCTGTTGGTACCCTGTATTTTACCTATTGATACACTTTCAAAAAGCCCAAATAAATATATCAAAAAGGGTTTCTCTTTTATAAAAATAATATTGATTTGTTCCAACTATAGTACATTTTCTAAATGCATTGTTTTTAATTCCTTAATATGAGATCGAGCACTTTTTCAATGACTGAAATGAGGCTAACTGGCCTGTTGTTCATTTATTCTCTATCTTCTGATCTTGAATAATAATGCTACATTTCTTAACTTCCAATCCATTAGAGCCATTCTAGAATCTAAGGAATTTTAGAAAATTGAGACCAGCGCTTTTACTATTCACTGCATCCACCACGTTTAGAGCCATAGAATGTAGGCCATTAGGTCCTTGAGTTTGTTGGATTTTAGACCCCTGATTTTCTTCAGTATACATTCTTTGCTGTGTTATTTATCTTTATTTCCTTACTCTTATTAGCTCTTGGATTACCCTCTACTCTGGCAAGACACTTGTATCTTCTACTGTGGAGGTAGAAATAAAATAATTATTCAATGTTTCTTGTCATATCCTCATTCCAGAAAACTATTCTATTGCAAGCATGAGCAGTAGCTGCAGCATGCCTCTCATTATGGCTACAATTCACTTACAATACTTGGCTCAAGCTCAAACTTTTCTGCCCAGGAGATTTTGCACATCTTGGACTTGCAAACTGGCATTGCCAGATCCTTATGCTCTTTTACATCAACAAAATTCTCCCCATCAAAGTATAATTAATTATTTACCAAGATGTTTGGTCCATTATAATGAATGGTCATAGAAAATAAAAATTATGTGATTCTTATTTTCCAACAAGCAATCCCTATAGCTAAGGCTTAACACCAGGTGACTGCTTGCAGAGATTTGACCTTACAGTAACATGGCACTGTTTATGCTGTGAGAATAGAGTTTATCCAACGAATATACCCTTCCAAATTATTGATTCATTTTCTTATAGGGTTGATCCTGCAAGTCACATTAACCAAACTTGAACTGACAGTGGATGTGATACTTCATATTTAGATAGATGATATTATTTAAGGAGAACACCTGTAAGATTTCAAAAAATGTTGTATAATTAAAATTAGCTCTTAATCTTATTCTCAACATGATATGACCCACCAAATCATTACAACTTACATGTGTATCCAAAAGTGCGGGGTCCATCACAGCTCTTGTTTCCAGCAAGTGCCTTTATAGTAAAGCGATACCTGCTACCTGGTATCAGTGTTAGAAAAGAGGCTTCTTTACTGTGGGAGCTCCCAGGGATGCGGAGATTCTGAGTTTCTCTATTGTCCATTCCAAATAAACTGACTTCATAAAAATCAACATTCCCAGGTCCTGGAGTCCAAAAGACGTGGAGACTTGTGGAGGTTGTCCTACTTTTGATCACTCCAAGGCTCTGGGGTGGTTTGGGATCTTAAAAAAAATTAAAGGTTATATTAAAAGAGACTGACAAAATTGCCGGAAATACTCAGCAGGTCAGACAGCACCTGCGGAGGTGGAGCAGTTCTGACAAAAGGTGGATGATCTGAAATATTGATAATGTTCCTGTCTCCATGGATGCTGTAAAGCTTGCTGACTATTTCTGGGTTTTTCTTTTGTCTATTTCAGATTTCTAACTTCTGCAGTATTTGGCTTTAAGGTTAAAAGAGATCTAACGAAGAAATTCAACAGTTATAGAAACAGACCCTTTCGTCTAAACAACCAACCCATGCCAACTATAATCCCAAACTAAATTAATCCCACCTGTCTATGCTTGGCCCATATCCCTTCAAACATTTCTTATTCATGTACTTATCTAAATGTCTTTTAAATGTTGTAACTGTACCCACATCCACCACTTCCTCTGGAATTTCATTCCACACACAAACCACACTCTATGTGAAAAAAATTGCTCCTGATGTCTTTCTGAAATCTTTCTCCTCTCACCTTAAAAATATGTCCCCTAGTCTTGAAATCCCCCACCCCCTAGGGAAAAAAAAACACCTACCATTCGCCTTATCTTAACCTCTCATGATTTTATAAACTTCTCTCAGGTCATCCCTCAACCTCTTATGCTTCAGTGAAAAACGTCCTAGCCTATCCAGCGTCTCCTTATAACTCAAACCCTCCATTCTTGGCAATACCCTGGTAAATCTCTTCTGAACCCTCTACAGCTTAATAATATCCTTCATATAACAGGGTGACCAGCTCTTGTCCATTCAGTCCTCAAATTCTAATTTATTATTCAGTGCAACGTCTGAGTGCTTACTTCTGCCTTGAAATTTGATGTGCTTTAATACTCTTTCCTGAAAAATGTTTCTTCTGAATTTTCTCCCTTATTCAGTATTGAGACTGAACAGCCAGATTGTGCCACATAATATCTTGAACTATGAGATACATCGTACATGTGTTACTGCCCAACTTTTGAGTACAAGTGTGTGATAATTCAATTATATATTGCATCGTATATTAGTTAGGATTTAAATGTGCTGCCATTAAATCAGAAGCAATATCATACAAGACTTTAAATAACTGTTTACAAATCAAAGGATAGATGGAAAATCATACAATTTGCACAGAATGCATATAACTGTCAGATAAAGGATAAAACATGTGTAAGGCCAGGCTGAATTCAAGACATTCTGAGTCTAGAACATCTGTTCTTTACTTTGGCAGTTACTAAAATATGGAACAAAGCAACAAAATGAATTACATCTATCCATTTATCCATCTGTACCTGTCTCTACTTATTTAATCACTTGTTCACCTCTATGTATTTGCCTGCCCTTTCTAGCTTTTGAAATATCTGTGCAGTTGTGGTATACTGCGTTGTTGATAGCTATGCTTTGATTTTAAAGATTAATATTCATCACTTATTGGAAGATATGTGTAGCAATAAAGTAATCAGATCATATCTGTTTAACTATTTCACCTGGCAATATACATATATGCCTTAACTCTAAGTTACAAGGTTCTGCGCTCAAATCCCACTCCAGGTCTTGAGCTCAGAAATCTCGGCTGATGCTCCAGTGCGGCACTGAGGAGAGTTGGCCTGCCAGAGGAGCAGTCTGTAGGATGAGATGTTAGACAGAGGGCCTGTTTGTTCTCTCAGATAAGAGAATATGATGGCACTAATTGAAGAAAAACTGGAGAGTTGTCTGGTATGCTGGCCAGTATTGTTCCCTCAATTAACAACATGAAAATACACATACTGTTTATAGGGGCTTGTTGCCCAAAAGTTGGCTGTCGTGCTTGCTACATTACAAGAGTGAATACTCTTTAATTAGTTTATTGTTTGTAAAATGCTTTGGGATATCTGGTAGCATTAAAGGTGTTAAATAATGCAAGCTTTAGGGGCTCTGTGACACAATGGTAGTGTCCCTACCTCTAAGCCAAAAGGCCCAGGTTTAACTTGCTTCTGGAGGTGCATAATAACATCTCTAAATAGCTGATTAGAAACTACTTACAATACAAGTCTTTCTTTTTTTCCTTTCAGTGTTTGCATTTGACCCTAAATTGGTATTTTCAGAGAAACAATTTAGATAGAGCCCACCAAATCTCTCTGACCACTGAAATCCAAAAAGATTTCCAGGTTTATATGAAGATATACCTAAGCAAGAGAAATGTTAGCACAAATTCACAGGGTTGAGACAAGGTTTTTTTGAAGGACTCTATGACTCTATAATTCTATGACTGATTTTCCAGTTTCCTCCATTATCCATTTCTATTCTCCTTTAAGTAATTATCAAGGTTTTTTTCAGTATTAATCAGTACTTGCAGCAAAGCATTCCACATTCCAATCTTATTCGGTCACAAAATTTCTTAGTTATTTAGCCTGTTTTCTCTGGTATGGTCTTTTGTAAATCTAAGTATTAAAAAGGGTGAATTAATTTCCCAGATCTCCAGTCAGGGATCAGAGATATTACTTTCCTTTATTTTAAGAAAAAAAACCTATTGAGGGGATGATGAGGGAGGTAAATTCCCATGGCTTGTTAATGCCAGTAGTGAGGTGATTAAATGGCTAGGGATGTCAGTTACAAATCTTGGAACTTGGTTCATCTGAGATAATTATGGAGATAAACTGGGGAGATATTGGCTAACCCTTTATACATGTCATACACTGTATGGTCCAAGGAAACCTTTAATAGACCTAAGTCAATTTATCAATAATTGACTAAATCAGATAGCAATGATGTATATGTAAAGTCTTATACTGAAACAAAGTGACAAATACAAATGAACAAGTTTCTCGAGGAGAGTATGAACAACCCAACCCAATCCTCTACAACACTATACCAGTAGAGATTTCAGGTTGCGTGCTTCCAAGGTTCAGTTGGGCAGCACATTCCTTATCTACTGAAATCTATTTGGCAACAAGAATAAAACACTCGGGCCTTTTCTAACATCCGGTAGAACAAGGAACAATACTGGCGGGGTTCAACTACTCCTGGCTCGACTCAACTTCAAACCATTGTTACATATTTAGGGTTTGGCCTCTGTCCAGTGAAATCACCGCCGTGCACATCTGTGCGCACTTGTACGGCCTAAATTAAGGTCACTTGTGGAGGCAGACTGCCAAACCATGCTCCCAAAGGAGGTAGGGGGCAATAGATTTGAAATAATCTCCCCTCCTCGAAAACAGCTCTTGCCATGAAAATTAACACAGATAAAAACATAATTCTAATGTGTACCTAGTCGATACTTATTAGCGAGAAACGAACCATTTTATAATTATTAAAAAAACAACAACCTGTTCGGACATAGCTCTGTGGTAGGCGAGTCATAGCTCTGGGGTGGGGTAGTCATAGTTCTGGGGTAGGGGAGTCTTGAACCCAGAATATTTCGCCCAGAGATACTACCACTGTGCTACAATACCACCCTCTTTTACTATCTTTCCTGTCGAACGTTATTAACTAAGCTACTAGTGCAAAATATTAGCCATCTAGTGAAGTGACAAATCTTTCAGTCTACATTTTAGCCTGTCATCAGTCGTTTTCACTTTCAAAATTTCGAGCCTTTCGATTTGTTTTTCAAAGGTGTCTGAAACGGTTCTCCACAATTTCTGCAATGTTTTTTTCCCCAAATTGGAAAATAACTTCCTGCAGGCACTTCCCTGTAAAATAAATCCAGAATTTCCCCAGTCCAGTCTCCTCAAAGGTGGCGTTTATGCCCCTTTAACAGGACGGTTAACTATGAGTGAGAAATAGCTGCCTGTGCTCGGACTGATAAATGTGTGTACTGTACAACGTGCTGTTTAAAGTGGTGGCGCTGGCTATAGACACCACCCAGTGGCCGCTGATCGGGCATCATCCCGAAAGTTGCTGGAGGTTCCGAGGACGTTCTGTTTCTTTCTTCAGGTGAAACTGGTTAATACCCTCGACTACCTCCAACCCCGCCCCGCCGCACCATCAGAATATATACTTCCCATGCATATGTCAATTTTATCCCCGGGCAGAATTGGAATTTCAAAGTGAGGTTGTGCCACATTCTAACAATGGTCTTAATTGTATAATATGATAATAGAATATATAATTCCATACCTTGGCAAAGTATGATGTGGAGGTGCCGGTGTTGGACTGTGGTGGACAAGGTCAGAAGACACACGACACCAGGTTATAGTCCAACAGGTTTATTTGAAATCACAAGCTTGTGATTATAACCTGGTGTCGTATGACTTCTAAACTGGGAAACTAAGGCATTTAATCATAAAGTTAATAATTCAATAGGGCGTAATATCTTTATTGATAGCCCCCCCATCAGATATATAATTGGTTCCCCCACCCCGCTTCTTTCTTTCATTTCGATGTGCCTTACCTGTCTGCGCTGTTACATTTGCCGATAGCCCGTCAGCAAGCGACACAATCTGGAGCCGGTGTAATGTGCCTGCCTCTAGCTCGTTCACCTCACACTCGTAGGCAGCTCCGCTGTACAGAGCTGGGTTGCAGCTCTCCACCCAGGACTGATTCCATCTGTAAGCCACGCTGAAGTTGCAGGCATTCCCCGGGCTGTTCCACTGAAGGTGAACGGTATCCCCGGTCTGTCTGATGTCCGTCACATTAACCGCGCATCTCTCAGCCTTCACAATCCCATACTGGAAGAAAAAGGAACACACACACAAAAAAACAATTAATCCGGCCTTTTTCTTCCAGAGCACAGCGTGGGCAAACATAATAAATAGTTGGTAAATGATCCTGTGGTAGTACAGGACTTGAATAATTCTGACAAAAAGCGATATGCTTTGGAAACTTTGTTTTTGCATTCATTAGATAGACCCACATTGTTGTTCCCTTTGACATTTGGCAATTCTTACAAATATCCTGAAGAGGAAAAAGTTACGCGTCTCTTTTTTCCCGTTTGTAGTTAATTACACGTATTTTTCCAAACGTATAATCTTCAACTAATAAAAAAATTAGCGCGTTACCGAGTACGAAGCCAGGAAAAAAAAAGTTATTATTATTTTAATTTCACCTTAGAACTGCAAGCGTTATTGTGTTTTAGTTCCAAAGATCAACAGCCCAGAAGCTTCAGATCACCTGAATATTAAATAGGGTTTGACAGGTATCTTCACAGAACTCACCTTGACCAGACAGAATGTCATCCATAACAATATGAACCCTGTTTCATATCCCAGCATTGCGTTTGTGAGTCTTATCCACCGGTCCTCCCGGCTATTAGGTGTTTTACATCAACACTGTACAGATCCGTGAGCGACAATCTCTACAGCCCTCCTAGCGACCGGTGATCTTTTCAAACCAGCACTTTCACACAATCCAAATTCTTGAGGAGGTTATGCGTTGGAGAGAGAGAGAGACACCTGTTGACTGCAGAGAGAGGGAAAAAACTCCTCGATGTCCTCCCAAAGTATTCCTGAGGTTTCCTTGATTGCAATTGTCTCTGTTTCTCTCTTGCGACGGGTCTAATCGAACACTCCGCTGGAATGATGCGGATAGCAGTGGGATCGGGTGGAATCTGTGGCGTGGGGCTGGAGTTGGTTCCCAGCGTTCAGGGAGACGGTGTGATTTGTGTCCTGCAGTTCCCACGCTGCCATCCTGACCCAGTCACTCAACTGAACCGTTTCCATTGACTTCCTCAATCAAGAGTGAATTTCCTCAGCTCTTTCCAAAGTATTAATCCAGACCTGGGATTTAAATCTCAGAGTCCCCACGGCCTCACTCTGAAAAGTATAAATCCTCCCGGCATCTTCTCTTGGAGTTTCCAAGTTGCAAAGGGCAGCCCCCAAACTTTCCCTCCACTGACGCGCCCCCTCCCCTAACTCCCTCCTCCTGACTCCACTGATCCTCCCAAATTCTTCGTTCAGACCTACTCACTTTTTTTTTGGGTAATCTGTTTATTTTCTTTACCTCTCAGACGTGTCGCCTCCCCTCCCCCTCCCCGCCTCTCTGTCAAACTTTCTACATTTGCTCGACCCACCGTTCTGACTCCGCACTTTCTCCTTCCCTGTTTATCTTTGGTTTCATTAGCCGCTTCCTCTGTCCAGGATTCACTCGTATCTCCATCTCCTCCCCACACCCCCGATTTTCAATCTCTTGGTCGTTTTGCTGCCCTTTCAATCGCTTGCATCTCTCCTCTGGCCGTCATTTTTACCCTCTCCCCCAGCCCCACTTCCCTCTAGTCCGTAAAAACAAATACTGAAGATAACAGACACCTGAAAGTGCACTTCGTGTCTTTATTCTAGTTCTTAAATCTTAGGTTCTCTCTGTGTCCCTCGGTTTTCTGAACCAATTTCCCATCCTTTGCTCCCCCTTCTCCCTTATTTAGCACAATTTGCGCGTGTTTTAATAAACCACCAATCTTTTCCTTTGTCCCTATTGAATCTTCTGTACTGTTTTGTCATTTCCTGGACTTGCTGATATTGTCTAGTTTTGTTTTCGGTTGTCAGTATTAGCCAGTTTTCAAATGATGGCTGTACTTGGTGTATATGTTCTAAAATGCAGGCTTTGCATTATTCTCTGCAATTGGTATTGACCAATCGCCAAGTGAAAGGGTCACTTTTTTTTACGCTAACAGATATGAGAACTGAAATCGCAGGACTCCAGCAATGTGCAGCTTCACATTGACATTCACGCCTACCGCCATCCCCCGAATTGCTCGATTGTGTTTAGTTTGATAAAAGTAAATTGTTTAGATATTCTCCATCAGTCACTTATTCACATAAGGCAGCGAACAATAGAGCGGCGACTTCGGCGCTGTTCTGGGAGAGGAAAGTGCGGATGTCAGGCACTGGGCGGGCCAGGATGTGCTTTAATAGTCAGCGCGGTTTCGCCCATACACTTACCCAGGGCTTCCTGTCATTTTTCTAACTTTGATTCGAGCCTTTATCAGGAGGAAAGGGCTTTGCAGAACTTTTTGTCTCGCAAGAATCTGAACTTGCACATAACCCGCCGAGTTATTTACAACTCAAAACCAGACTGCCAAAGGCAAACAATAAGGTCATGTGGCGCACTCTTTTCTCTTGGCCCTGTTAGCCTCACACAGAACAAAACTGGACTACTAGGCGAACGCTGTACCCTCTTGTTCTGAACTTCACCTTGTTACAAACAGCCATCCTCGTCGTCATTTTAATTCACCCCCATCCCCCCAGAGTTAGTAGATCCATGTGAATAAATCAGTTTTATATTTTAGAGTCTCCCTTGTTAGTGCAGGTCAATAGGTTAACCGTGGAGTGAGAAATGCATTGAAACCCACCCAGTAGTCGATTTTATTCGATTACCTTAGAAGGTTTGGCTGAAGGTTGAGTCACAGGCTTTTATTCCAGGAACTCGTTCGTGCCACAACTGAGCATCAACAGAAACCAACGAGTGATAATTTCTTCTGAATCTTAGGATCTGTGTCTAAAGTACAATGTAATTGCTGCCAGTTACGTTGAAACACGTCCACAAGAGATCGTTTAGTCCTGCACCTCACGGATGTAACACCAGGAACACAACTCGCTCAATAAGTATCAAATTCTGACAAAAGAGAAGGAAGCTATTTGGCCCATCATACCCGCTCCTTGAAATAG